TCAGGTTATCTGGTGGTGAAACACAATGATGCTTAAATTGTTCAGTTCTGACCTGTGTTGTTCTGTTTCTATGTCTTCTTTTATCTAAATCTTTTTTTGTCCTTTTTTTCTATTTTTTAAAAATTTTTTCTTATTTTTTTAATTATGGGAAAACTAAATTAAAAAATAGTGGGATATATTATAGTAACCTTTTTGTTTTTCTATTAACCTGATTTGAACCCCAGTATTGCTCTCCCCATCTTGTTTTGTCTGATGTTACTATATTCTATTTTGTTTGATAGTATCAAATTTGAGGGTACAGGCAACCACTTTGAAGGCAATAAGATTTACTATGATGCCCGTTATGGTTTGACTATTATCTTCTTTCGAAGTCCTGTAAGGTCTCCAGTGTAGGTTTATTGGTCTTGTTCTGTACTGTTTTGTTCAATTCTATTATACCTGATGATATAGGCAACTCTTTTGAAGATAGCAAGAGGCATAATGGTAACCATTGTTGATCACCTGGTGTTCTGTTTTTGCATCATGTACTATGTCCATCCTTCTGTTCTAACTGACTCTGTTTTGCTTTGTCACATTTGGGGTTTTTTTGTTATTGTTGTTGTTGTTTTCTCTTCAGAAAAAAAAGTTATAAGAACTGTGGGAGTAATAAAACCCAAAAAGTGTAATTGTTATTGTAAAAAAGAGGAAAAGAAAATGGTCTAAAGGATATAACTGCATTTACATTTAAATGTGTAGGATAGAAAACCATATTACTGAGTTTTTGTTGGATCATTGAACAGAACTGTCTGCAATCTCACTATATGAATGTCCACTTTCTATGCTTTAATTTTGTAATTTGGACAACTGTTTCTAAGATGATAATATGCAGTCTATTAACTAGTGATTTCTTACTGTATTTTTTTCTTGAAATTCTGTATTACTTGTACCCTTTTACTGCTTTGTTTTTTTGTCTCTTTAAATAAAAAAAGAAACATTATCCATAAAAACCCAAAATAGCAACATCATAAACCAATGTAAAAACAACATTTTGCACAGCCACATAATAGAATACCATCTGACCATAAACAGGAATGACGCACTGAAACATGCTAGAACGTGGATTTTTTTTTATTCAGAAGCTTGCTGTCTTCTGTTTTCTGTCTTTTCTTATGTAGGCTAAACATCTTAAATTCTTTCAGGTTTTCTTAGTGAAATATACAACACATGGGAAGTACACTTTAATGTTATTTTTTGTGCCCTGAATGTGAAATCTATAAACTAAACCAACATTCAGAAAGTGTTTTAGCTTTCAAAGGTCAGGTGAGTAAAAAAATTAAAAGACCTGGATGAGGGTTATGTAGCTCAGTGGTAGAGCACTTGGCTCACATGTGTGAACCCCGATTCAATCCCCAGCACGGCAGGAAAACAATCAAATGAACAAAAAATAAAGGGAAGAACCAGTCTGGAAAGCTGTATACATACAAACCTTAATGTAAAGTATGGACTTCAGTTAATAACAATGAATGTTTAATGACAACGTATTATTACAGGTTCTTTAGCTATAATAAATGCTGTGCTAGTATAAGACATTAGTAAGGAAGAAATTGCATAGAGTAAGGTGTATGAAAACTCTGCTGTCTGATTAATTCTGTCTAAAAGAAATCTATTACTTTTTTAAAGAGTTTGGTGACTCCATTTTTAAAAAATGAATAGGCAAGTTACAGACTGGGAGGACAGGTTAAATATATACTTTAAAATAAAATATGTGTACATAAATACAAAATAAACTTTATATGTTATATAAAACTGTACAAAAACTGATTCCAGGATTTAAAAATAGTCAAAATTGTAAGACCCAATCCAAAATTATTTGAAAAGACACTTCACAATAAATAAATAAGTAAATAAACAAATAAAAGTTCAAATATATATACATATACATATATATGTAATACACACACATGTTTACTGGCCATCTTTACATGGCCAATAAACTCGTGAAAAAGTGCTCAACGTCATTAATTGGCAGAGAAATCAAGTTACAACCATAGTGAAATGCATCTTAGTATCATTAAAATGGCTAAATTAAAACAACGTATAATGTAAAATATCAGTTAAAGCAACCAGAACTTTCAGACATTTCTGGGAGTATACAATGTTGTACAACCCTACTGAAAAAAGGTAAGACAAGTTCTTATAGAAATAAACTTACACCTACCCTATAAACCAACAAAGATCAAGAAATTCATACATGAATGTTGTGGTTGCTTTATTTATTTAGGTTCCAAACTGAAACAACACAATGTCTATTAAGAAAACACATAAAATCCTCCTTGTTCCCTATATACAATAGAGTAGCATTAGAAAAGAAGAGACAAACCAACATGCAGCCAAGTGGCTGAACATCAGATTCATGCTCCATGCAAGAGGCCTCAATACAAGAGTGTGGCTATTGTTTAAACTGGTTTGTCCCAGCCTAAACTCATGTGGCCTGGACACCAATGTGAAGCCTGACAATTGATAAAAGGGACTAATGGCTTTAACAGGAGTGAGTTCTCAACTCAAAGGACGATGGTTTACCATGGAAGTGGGCTGTTAGGAAGCAACCTGGCACTTCCCCTTCCTCCTCTCACCCACACGCTCTTCCACAGGCATCTGCGTCCCTTTCCCCCTGATCCACTGTGGGATGAGGCCGCCACCAACAGCACAGCGGATGCCAGGTGTGTGCTCTTGGATCTCCAAAACTGTGAGCTAAATAAACTTTTCTTTATAAAGTTCCCAGCCTCAGTAGTTTCTTATAATGACACAAAACAGACTAGAACAAGTGGCTACTCTATGATTCTATTTACATAATGTTCTTGAATAGGTGAAACCTATCCAAAACACAAAAAAGATGGAACCTCTGGATAAGTAGGGTGAGAAGTTATTAAAAAAAATGAGGGAACTTTCTGGAGTGACAATAATATTCCGTATCATAAGTGTTTGGGTAACACACGTGTATGTACTTGTCAAAATCAATAAATACACAGAAAATCTGTACATTTCAGTATGATTTATAGAAATGAGTTTTCAAGGTAGTAGGATTGAATTCAGGGCCTCTTCACACATGCTAGGTAAGTACTCTCCCACTGAGCTATTCCCCCAGCCAATAGGGGGAGTACACAAATCTTTCTCAAAAGAGAAAAAAGACTAATACTAAACTTTGGTTAACGATTTGAAAAATGCTGAGTCACTTAGAGCAAAATATGCTAATATTTACAGTTTACTTTGAAATGCATAAAATCATTAGAAGGATAGAAACATGACTAAGATGGGTAAACAATAAAGCAAATTGAGTAAAATATTAATAGCAGAATCTAGATGATGAGTATCTATGTTTCCACTGTAAATCTTTCAATTTCTCTGGATATTTGGAATTGTTCACAATAAAATATTGCAAAAAATTAAGCTGAGAAATAGTCAGGTACCTGTGTTCAAATATATGCACAATGTAAATCAAAAAGCATTATGATCTGCTCCTTAAAAGGGGAAGTTGTGTGCTGTGCTTTGCTTTTAACTAGATCCCAAAGGCTTATACACTGAGACTGTCCCCAAGACAGTGCTCCCAGGAGGTGATGAAACCGACCTTTACGTCATCAGGGTCATGTCCCTGAAGTAACATGGACCTCAGCCCTTTCCACTTCCTCTTGGGCTCCCTAGCAAAGATAAGTGGTTTGTTCCCCCACGTACTCCTGCCATGATGTGCTGCCTCACCACAGGGCCCAAAACTACAGCACCAACCAATGAGGAACTAAATCCTCTCACACTGGGAGCCAAAATGAACCCTTGCTCTGCGTAAGTTGATTTCTTGAGGGACTTCCTTCAGGCAAGGGGAAGCTAATATGGTTTGCAAACACTGTTAGCTGCATAGTTCTTCTGCCTTGCTTCTTCCTCTCTCTTGAGCTTGCTCTCAGATTGACAGCTCAGACCTTAGCTCGTCCCTACTCTCATTCTGATTCAGCTTAACCCAGTTTTCAGCTGTATTCTAACTAATTACTTCCCTTAATAATGTTTTGTTCCTAGTTTCTTGGCACTGTAAGATAGCAGGAGGTCACCCCCAACAAATTACGCAATGAACCAAGTGATGCTGCTAATTGTCATTTAGAAGAAACTAATACATAGAGCTAATAACTTCTCCCAGGTTCTGTAGCAAGTGATTTGATTAAGGTACCCTGATATGACTATTCCTTTCAACTTTTTGGAAAGTATCATGGTCATAAGAATTGGAGTAACAATAGTGTTTATCATAACCATTGATGATAATATTTACTGAGCACCTACTTCTGTGTCCTCATTAAAACCTCATCATGTTCCTATGAAGCTTCTCAATACTTTCAGAGTAGATACTCAATAAATATCATTGATTTAGCAATGAACAGAAATAAGTGAAGACTTCCACAGTAGCTTTTTTTTGGTCTTTTTGAGACAGGGTCTCACTAGGTAGCACAGGCTGGCCTTGAACTTACTTTGTAGCCCAGGCTGGCCTCAAATTCACAGTGATCCTCTGGCCTCAGCCTCTCAAGAGCTGGGATTACGGCTGTGTGCCACCATGCTCAGTTAGTAGCTATTATCTTCACTTAAAGGTGAAAAAAGTAAGGGTCAAAATTTACCAAGGCAGATCTCACAACAAGATGAAGATTTTACTATAGAGAATATAATAAAACATAACTGAGTTTCTTATTATTAGTAAGACAGAAAAGTGTACTTTTTTTGGCTTCCTCAAAAGTAGATATAAATACAATTCTGGGTGAAATTCAAAAGAAAGTTAAGCCAGCCCCAGTGGCACATGCCTCAGCCTCTTGAGCTGCTCAGGCAGGAGGATTGCAAGTTTGAGCAATGTGGGCTACTTAGGAGACTCTGCCTCACAATGAAAAATAAAAAGGAGCCACCCAGGGTGGCAGGGAGGCTGTAATTCAGGGTTCCGGCCTCAGAACCACCAAAAAAAGAAAAGAAAATTAGAATACTCTAAAAATAGCTCTAACCTGATTTTAGACAGCAGCTGTCCTCTATCTGCACAGTCCACACTGACTTGTCGGATAAGTTCATGAAATACTGTGTTATAGATGGTCTGTTCCTTCTTTAACATGTGAAGTAGCTGGTGCATCTGGCAGGAGATAAGTGAAATAATCAGTGCTTATTGTAGTATTATCAAGTTCTAGTAATAAGATTAATTTATTTCATTGCATTTTTATCAATATATGTACGACTTTTAAATCTGTCTAATTGTGCACATTTTCATATGGCATGCTAAGAAGATAACAATATCACTTCTATGATATGCCTGCCAAAAATTTTAAAAACCTGAATATACTCATGAGTATATATTAGACAAGCCAAAACTAAGGCATATCCTATAGAATAACTGGCCTGTACGGTTCAAAATGATCAAGTCCAGCTGGGCATGGTGGCCCATACCTGTAATCCCAACACTCAGGAGGCTGAAGCAGGAGGATCACAGGGAGTTTGAGGACAGGCTGGCCCACACAGTGAGTTCAAGGCAGCCTGAACTGCAGAGTGAGGCTGTCTGAAAGGAAGGATGGAAGGAAGGAAGGAAGGAAGGAAGGAAGGAAGGAAGGAAGGAAGAAGGAAAGAAAGAAAGAAAGAAAGAAAGAAAGAAAGAAAGAAAGAAAGAAAGAAAGAAAGAGAGAGAGAGAGAGAAAGAAAGAAAGAAAGAAAGAAAGAAAGAAAGCCAAAATAATCAAAGACAAGAAAATCTGTTTCACATAAAAGTTGTCTAAAGGAATGTGAAACCTGAAGTGGTGGGTGATGCTGAGACGCTAGACTAAGGGGAAGGAGCAGCTACGAAAGCTATCAGAGGGCTGGGATGTAGCTCAGCGGAACAAGCGCCTGCCTGGCAAGCGCAAGGTCCTGAGTTCCACCCCTAGTACCCAAAAAAGACTATTAGAGACGTTCTTCAAAACACCAGAAATACAGCTACCACGTGATCCAGCAATCCCTCAACTTAAAAATCTATCCAAAGGAAAAGAAATTAGTGTATTGCACTACTATTCATAATAGCAAAAAGAGGGGGTGTCCATGAAGTGACAATGAAGGGATGTGATGCACATATACAGTGGAATACTAGTTAGCCATAGAGAGCGTGCTATCCTGTCATTTACAGCAGCATGAAAGAGCCTGAAGAACACTGCACTAAATGAAATAAGTCAAGCACAGAAAGACAAATATTATGTTCTCACTTATCCTGGTAGCTAAAAACGTTGATCTGATAGAAGTAGAAGGGAGCATAATGGTCACCACAGATTGGGAAGGGGCTGGTGGAGAGGATGGAGAGAGGATGGTCAGTGGCCATGGGGTGCAATTGGACAGAAGTAATAACTTCTAATGTTCCATAGCACGGCAGTGTAAGTACAACTGACAACTAATGGTATATTCACAATAGCCAATAAAGAGGATTTTAAATGTTCATAATACAAAGAGATGATAAATGTCAGAGGTGCTGTTTACGCTAGTTACACTGGTAGGATCATTGTAAGTTTTTTACATATATTCAAATGTCCTACTTATCCAATAATATGCACAATTATTATGTATCAATTGAAATTCAATACATAATAAGGGTCTCACAAACAGTGGTGCCTATGTTCAATGACACAGTAACAAGATAGCTATGTGCTGCATAACGACATTTCATTAAACAACAGACCACATATATGACAGTGATCCCATGAGATGATACACAAGCAATTACCACTGTATGACAAGTGCCGTGGCAGTCAGTACAGTGCACTTGCTGTAGTCATATCTATAACATACAGCCTCTGTGTGTGGCAAGCTATACCATGTAGGTTTGTGTAATGTTGTTCTCACAATGACAGAATTGTCTGATGATGCATGTCTTGGGACACATCCTTATTATTAGACCATGGGTGAGTATACTAATAATGAATTGTATAATTTTATCACATGAGAGGCACTTTTTACTTATTATTATTCTCACCCAGGCATTCATCCTCCAGAGTCCATGCTCTTTTTTTTTTTCCTTTTTTCTTTTTATCTTTTTCGTTTTTATCGGTACCAGGGATTGAACTCATGACCGCACACTTGCAAGGCAGGCGCTAATGCCGCTGAGCTAAATCCCCGCCCCGGAGTCCATGCTCTTAAACACAGGGTTACACTGGTCACTGCAATTACCTTGGTTGGTCCTACATATTCCCGATTTTCTACCCCAGCCCTCTCCAGCATAGTATCCATCACTTCATTCAGTTGGACCACTTCCACTCTTTTGTTAGGTTTCCTAAAAGATTAAGGTAGCCAACATGCAAATACCATTTTAACATCTCCTGCTTAAATGACAAAAAGAATATAAAATGTATAAATAAAATGTATAATTATGGAACATTAATATTTTAAAGCATTAGACCTGTATCTATTGATCTAGAGGAACATTAATAATAGGGTGAAAAAACAAGAAAACTTGTAAATAGTATGATCCCTTTCTTCTTAAAAGAAAATAATTCTCCCCTCCAAAGAGTCTGTATGACTATTATGTAACATGGTAGGACCATATTAAAAATGTGGACAGACAAACACCCAGTATGAAAAAGCAAATAGAAAGGAAAGAAGATGGCAGCGAGATGGAGAAATACTAATTGTTAAATGTAGAATATAAAAGTGTTTCATAGTACTTAAATACTACTTATATTTATGTAGATTTGAATATGTAATTGGACATATGAAAGCAACAAATTAGATAACAGAATTATAAAAAATAATTGTTTTGGGTTCCTGCTATAATTTTGTTTAATAAAATATCAACAAAACGAATACATATGAACATCATCATTCTTTCTAAGAAACACTGTAAAATAAATCATACTTACATGGATGGAAAGAGCAATAGCCTGTTTTCACTATCCGTGAGAAGAGTAGTATATTTGCTACGATAGATAAGACAAGTGCATGTTATTTTAAGAAAAGATTTTGGGACTGGGGATGTAGTGAAGTGGTAGATTATGTGCTTAGCATTTACAAGAGACAGACAGACACAGAAACAGAGAGACACAGGGAGAGACAGAGACAGGGAGATAGGAGACAGGGAGACAGACACACCTAGACAGAGATGAAGACAAGAGAAGAGACCAGAAGAGAAAAGGGAAGGGAAGGAAAGGAAAGGGAAGGGGAGGGAGGGAAGGGGAGCAAGCAGGCAGTCGTGAGTTCGATCCCTGGTACCAATAAAAAAGAAAAAGACAAAAAAAAAAAAAAAAAAAAGATGGACTACAAACAAGGATACCACAGAGGCAACTCACAAATCTAGCACCCAGAACCTTGTTTTCTAAGCACCATTCTCCACTAACCATAACTCAGAACTCCCTGGGAAATGAATCGTGGCTAATTCCAGAACGGGGGTTGGAAAATACAACCCCCAAATGAACTTGGAAATCTCACTGAGCCATAAAATAAGAAAGTTCAGATGATATTGGAGACCTGTCAAAGAACACAAAAGCCGGCTCAAAGGAGCGGCCGTTGGTCAAATCAGGAAACATTTGAATGTCAGAATAAACAATGATACAGCAGTAAGGAATTAAAATCTACCAGATGTAGGGGCTCATACCTGTAAACTCAGCTACTTGAGAGTCCACGGCACGAGAACTACAAAGGAAATTTAGCAAAACTCAGCCTGGGAAATTTACCAACTTCCTCTCAACTTTTTAAATGAGTAGATAGATAGATAAATCAATAAGCAAACTAGAAATGTAGCTCGGTGGTAGAGCCTTTGCCTGGCATATGTGAGAGCCTGCATTCAATCCCCAGTACTATAAAAGAGAGAATTAAAATCTATCAAATAAACAAACAAAAATCAACAGCATTCCTATACCCTATTAATGAACCTACCAAAAAGGAAATCAAGAAGGTAATTTTATTCACAATAGCTTCAAACAGACAAAGTACTTGGGAATCAACCTAACCAAGGAGGTAAAAGATTTCTACAGTGAAAGTTACAGAACTCTGAAGAAACTAAAAAATGAAAAGACACTCCTTGTTCTTGCATCAGAACTAATATCATTAAAACGGCATTATTACCAAAAGCTATCTGTAGATTTAATCCGTATCCTATTAAAACACCAACATTTTTGTAGTTTTACAGAAAATTCTATAGCTTTACAGCACTAGAAAAAAATAAACCTAAAGTTCATGTGGAATAAGAAAAAGACTCAAAATAGCAAAGAAACACTCAGCACAAAGAGTAAAGCTAGAGGCACTATAATACCAGATTTCAATTATACTACAACGTTGTAGTAAGTTCAGTTTCAGTTATTCTACAAAGTTTTGTACTGGCACAAAAATAGACATGCAGACCAATGGGCTAGAAAAAACAGAAAATACAGAATCAATACTATGCACTGATAGCCATGTGATTTTTCACAAAGGGGCCAAAAACACATGTTGGAGAAAAGACAGTCCCTTTAATCAACAGTGCTGGGAAAACTGGATATCCACGTATAGAGGATTGAAACTAGTACCATTCTCCCCTAACCAGAATCAGTACTCCTTGGGAAACTAATCCCCACCTCTCACCCTGTTTTAAAGTCAAATCCAAATGTAGCAAAGGCCTAGATGCAAAAACGGAAACTTTGAAGCTGCTGGAAGACAACACAGGGGGAACCCTTGAGGCTACCAGCACAGGTGACGACCTTCGGTATAGAATTCCAATAGCATAAGGTAATACCAAGAATTAATAAGTGACATCAAATTAAAAGTTTCTCCACAGCAAAGGAAACAGATAAAATGACAGCCTACAGAATGAGAGAAAATTTTTCTAGCTACTATCTCAACAAGGATTAATATCAAGAATATATAAAAAACTGAGAAACAAAGCCCCCAAAACAAATGGCTTGATCAAATAAAGGGGCAAATGAACTGAACGGGCACATGTCAAAAAAAGCAAAAATGGCTTATGAAGTACAATAAATACATTAAAAAAATTCAGTATCTTTAGGCATTAGGGAAATAGAAATCAAAACAATTTTGAGATTTCATCTTATCCCAGTCAGCATGGCTGCAATTAGAACACACACAAAGAAAAGCACTGAATGCACATCAGGAGAAAGAAAGAACCCTCCTGTGTTGTTAGTGAGAGTGTAAACTAGTACAGCCACTAAGGATATTAGTGTGGAAATTCCTGAAAATAACTAAAAATAGAAAAAACCATTTGAAAATCAGACACACGCGTGTAACTGCCACTTTGTTCTCTGGTGTGAGAAACTGAAAGTGTAAAGAAGGACCAAAGTGCATAATAGTTACTGCGAAATGAGAGGCGGACGTTCCAACGGGAAGGAGCACTGGGGGGGGGAATGGACAGGGAAAACGATGAGAAAGGAAGGAAAGCATGGAAACAAGGCTTCTGTAAACCAGGAGGGGAAGAAGGATTGGAGGGAGGGCAGGAACAGGAAAAAGTCAAGTTATATCACGTAGAGAGGATGAACATGATCATTACATATTCCTAAAATGGACCGATGAACTTCACTAATATTAAAGGAAGAAATATCATTTGACCCAGCATTACCTTTTCTGGGTATGTATGGAAAGAATTAAAGACATAATACTATAGTGATGCATACATACACATGTTTACAATGGCACAATTCATAATAGCTAAGCTCCGTAAAAAGCCTGGATGCCTATGAACAGATGAGTGCACGTAGAAAATGTAGTATATATGCACACTGGAATATTATTTGGACACAAAGAAAGATGAAATCAAGTCATTTGCAGAAAATCAATGGAACTTGAGACCATTGTCTTAATAATCCAGACTCAGAAAGTTAACTATTACATGCTTTGTCTTGTATTAGAAACCTAAAATATAAATAAGCACACTAGGTCTGGGCACAGGGGTACATGCTTGTAATCCCAGCAGTTGGGAGACTGCTCCCAGCAGGTGGACTGTCATGAATTTGAGGCCAGTCTGGGCTACACGGTGAAGTCTTATCTCCAAAATAAACAAACAAACAAACAAACAAAGTAATAAAGGAGAGATGACAGGAAACTCTTGGAAATGGGGAAGGGGACAGGGGAGAAGGGAGGAAAGAGACTGAAAATCAACCTGTTATTAAATGCATGCACCAATTCCCCAAAACAAACATACTACAAATATACACTAATTTTAAAAGTTGTTAAATAAAGATGATATTTTAAAATGTCACATAGTTCAAGAGCTACTAAAAAAATCATCATCAAATATAACAGAAATCTATGAGTCTAAATGGTAAACTGGTATAGCTTTAAAAAGTCATCCAACAGCGGCTGAGGCAGGAGGACTGTTGTAAGTTCGAGACCAGGCTGGGCCACAAAGTGAGTTTAAGGCCAACTTGAACTGCACAGTGAAAAAGACAAAAAAAAAAAAAAAAAAAAAAAGTCATCCAAAGATGCATAATTAGTGGGTTACAGGAATACACATTGAATTATTTGGAGGTACAGGGATGTGATGTCTCAAATTTACTATTAGTTTTAAATTCATGTGTGAATGTGTGTATGTAAAAGCAAATTAGGCCAAACATAATTAACATTCAGTGAATCAGGAAAAAGGGGTATATGAAAGTTCCTTGTCCTAGTTTTACAACTTTCTCATGAGTCTAGAATTAAGAAAAAGTTACCCAAAATAATGAGTTCTAGTTAGTTGTCTTTGGCCAATTGCTAAGGAAATGCTACATAACATACATATTACATAACAGCTAGGGAGCGACAGCTTCTAGATGCTTTATTATAAAACCTCAGTCCAAAATTCTAGCTGTTTTACAGCAGGGTGCGTGGCACATCCCAATTCCACCACTCAGGAGGCTGACACAGGAGGATCGCTAGAAGCTCAAGGCCATGTGGTGAGTTTAAGGTCAACCTCAACTGCAGGGTTAAGATCGTGTCTCAAAAAGTAAAAACAAACAAAAAACGAACCTCTACTTTTTAAAACTATAAAATATTCAAATGTCTCAGAAAAATAAAACCAAGATCTCATTTTCAATCCCATAAGTAGGTCATCAAAGAAAAGAAGATGACAAGTTGTAATCTGAGATTCTCAGATCATAACCAGGCAGAAGCCATACTTAAAGGCACAGTGGAGCACTGGGAACAAAGTTGCACTTTTTAAAATTTAAACTTAGGTGCAGAAAGAACTAGAGAGTAATTTATTTAGTTAAACACTAAAATCCCAAAGTGCAAAGTCCTTCATTAAGAGGACTTTTTAAAAATCTCTCTCCGATTATATTAGGGCAGCACTGTATTAAGCCCGCGTGTCCCCGTTACACTAGGATCCAGGTGCACGGCTCTCAGGCTCTTCCGTGCGTATGAAGGAGAAGAGAGTTAGGCATATCAGGTATTCAGTACGTGTCTCATACTCACTCATCGTAGCACTCCAAACCTAAAACTCCTGTATTTGACACAATATGGAATTCTTCAGGAATTAAAGTATCTGTTAATCTCTTGGGCTTAAAAAAGAAAAAAAGAAAAAGACAAATATATTAATAAATGAAAAAGTTGAGCTGTAAAAACCCTAATTCCTACCCCAAAGGGATAGTATTTACTTTTCTTTCAGTATGTGTGTGCTGCATAATGAATGCTTTCCTCTTGGAGAGCTGGCACATGACAATATCACATCTCAATCTTTCATCTCCCTTTTTCTTTTCCGTCACTTCCTCCCTCTATCTCTAGATCATCTTCTTATTTGCAAAAGGTCTGTCCTCTTGTTTCTTGTAATCTATCATTTACTTTACTCTTTGAATCATTTATACTTTGGGTTTGACATATAAGAAAAACCTTATGTGCCAGGCATGGTGAGGCAAGCCTGTAATCCCAGCACTTGAGAGGCTGAGGCAGGAGGACTGATTCAAGTTCGAGGCCATCCTGGGCTACAAAGTGAGATCAAGGCCAGCCCGAACTGCATAGTGAGACTGTCTCAAAAAGACTAAAAAAAAAAAAAAAAGTAAGCATAAATTTGAGAGCAAGTTTACTTCTAGCATAACCATCCCTCAGTATCTGAAGAAGGCTGGTTCCAGGAATGGCCAGATACCAAAAATCTGCAGATGATCAAGGCCACTAAATAAAATGGCAGTCTTTGCATATAACTTATGCACATCCTTTTATTTATTTAAATCATCCCTGGATTACATATAATGTAAAGGCTATAAAATTGTAACGCTGAATTATTGAGGAAATAGTGACAAGAAAAACATCTATACAGGTTCACTATAGATGCAATCTTTTTTCAAATATTTCCCATTTGGGGTTGGTTGCATATGCAAATGAGGAACTCTCAGATATAGAGGGCAAGTATATTCGAAAATTCATTATTTAGGCTAGACATGGGGGCACATGCCTGTAATCCCAGGACTTGGGAGAGTGAGGCAGGAGGATCATTGCAAGTTCAAGGCTAGCTTGGACTATTTAGTGAGTTCAAAGATAGTCTGAATAACAGAGTAAGAGTTTATCTCAAAAAAACTTAAAAATAAATTAATTTTGTTCCATTTAGTAAAAAAACTAAAACTCAGTTTAGCAAGATACTATGAACAAGAATTCTACAACTTTGTAAGTGGATTTCTGGAAGGAAAACTCTAGTCTTCCACACTGTACAAAGTGGTAACTGTGGTTTGGACGATAGCTTGAGATATTTTTGAACTTTCCCACTAAATAGCTTTTGAAGGAAGACAGATAAACAATGCAGGCTGTGTTATGGTATGATATTACTTTATGCTTGGGGAAGTATTTGAAAAGTGGAGAGAAGAGGAGATTATTTAGCAAATGCTTTACCTTATGAGTCATGATGGCACCGTCGTGTTTATCGTGATCACCTTCAGATTGTAATGAGCGGTCCCCACGTGGGGGACAAATTACATTCTCTCTGATCTCCCCTTTTACATATTTAACATCATACAAAAAAGAAATATCCCTGAAAATAGAAAACATATACTTAAAAAATGAATTTTCATTCTGACTGTTAAGTGAAAGCCACACCTATTCCAGTGAGTAGAGTGGGCATTTATGTCAGCAAAGCCAATCTCCTTGCCCCATACTTTACTAAGAAGACTGGAGCATTAGACCTAAGTTTCTCTAACATTTTTCCTCTGCCTGAAATCTCATTCCCATCCCAAAGGCTTTCTTTTAATCATGGGCTAAGATAAACTATCTTTTCCATGGTTATTCCTCCCACTTGATTCCATCTTTTCCTACATCACTGAGATTTCTAGACTATCCTGGCCTCATCCACATCTTGTTAGAATCCATTTTTGAGCCTTCCCATCTTTCTAAAACTTCTTTTAAAAAACTTTTATTAGCACATATTTCTCAAACATATTGATCACATTCATCATCAGGAATTTGTACGTGTATGTAATGTATCTTGAGTCTTCATTTTCCCCATTTTCCTCCCTTCCCTTTGATCTTCCTTCCTTTCTCACTAACAAAACTTTCATTTCCACTTTTTCCTTCTATTCTTTCCTCCCTATTCCCTTCTTCCTTCTCCCATCCTCCCTTCCTGTTGCCCTTCCTATTTGAACACATTCTTCCTACTTCCCAATATTAACCCATTATTGGGTCTCTCACACAAGAGAAACAATGTGATACTTAAACTTGTGTGTCTGATTTATTTCACAAGATTATGGCCTCAAGGTTCATTCCTTTTCCTACAAATGACTCAAATTTATCCTTATTTATGGCAGTGTAGTATTTAATTGTACATAAATGACAAATTTTCTTTATCCATTCATCCACTGACAGGCATTTGGGCTGTTTCCAGCATTTGGTTATTATAAATTGTGCTACTAACATTGGTATGCATATATCACTGTAGTGGGAAGTTTTTAACTTTTTCAGGAAGATACTCAGGAACGGAACAGCTGAGTCAAATGGCTCTTCTAGTTTTAGTTTTTTGAGGAATATTTCCATATTGCTTTCCATAGTGTTTGTACCAGATTATATTCCCACCAGCAAAGAAGCAGGGTTCCTTTTTCCCCTCAGCCACACCAGCATTTGTTATTGGTTGACTTCCTGATGGTAGCCATTCTTTCTGGGAGAAGATGGAATCTCAGTATTGTTTTAATTTGCATCTCTCAATGACCAGTGATGTTGAGCATTTTTTCATATATTTGTTTGCTGTTTGTATGTCATCATATGAGAAGTATCTATTTATTTCAGATACCCATTTCTGCACTGGGTCTTTAATTTGGTGGGTCAAGGTTTTTGAGTTCTTTATATACACTAGATGTTAGCCCTTTAAAGAAGAGCTGGCAAAAAAAAATTTTCCCACTCTGAGTTGTCTCTTCATTCTTTTGGGGTTCCTTTCACTGTGTAAAAGCTTTTTCATTTGATGTGGTTTCAGTTGTTGATTCTTTGTAACATTTCCTGTGGGACTGAGGTTTTGTTCATAAAGCCTTTGTCTATAACTATCTCTTCCAAAGTTTTATTTTTTTGTCTTTTCAAGACAGGGTCTTGCAGTGCGGTTCAGGCTGGGCTTGAGCTCACTTTGTAGCCCAGGCTGCTCTCGGACTCACAACAATCCTCCTGCCTCAGCTTCCCGAGTGCTGGGATTACAGGAGTGAGCCCCACGCCCGGCTTTGTTGTCTCTTTTTTTGAATTGTTCCCTTAGCAGTTACGTAGTGACCTCATTTGTCTCTTCTGACCAGTCTTGGCTTGAAATCCATTTTCTCTGCAAATAGAGTAAATATCCCTGCTTTTTTCCGAGTTCTTGTTGCACTAAGTATTGCTTTCCAATCTTTGACTCTCGGTCTATGAATTTCTTTTTGAGTTAAATGTGTTTCTTGTATGTAGTATATTGTTGGACCTTGTTTCTTGATCCATTTTGTCAATCTTTATCTTTCAATTGCTGAGCTGAAAGTGTTCACATTGATGAGTATAAATGATATATATTGTCTTTTCCTTGTCATATTATTTTTCTGTTGCTTGTTCCCTTCCTTTCCTCTCTGTTTAGCTCTTTGCTTTATCTGGCACATTCATTCTACTAGGATTCTTGGAACTGTTGTCTTTTTCTAGAATATCCTTCATAAATTTTTAAAGTGCCATTTTGTTTGGTGGTCATGCATTTCTTCAGGTGTTTTTTTTTTTAAATCATGGAAGTATCTTATTTCTCCATCAATTTTGAAAGATAATTGTGTAGAGTACATCAGTTTAGGTTGGACATTGTTTTAAGGCTCAAAATATTTCTTTACAAGCTCTACTTGAGAATTTGTGTTGAGAAGTCTCCTGTGATTCTCTTGAGGTTTCCTTTATAAATGATTTGTTTCTTTTCTCTAAAAGCTTTTAGTATTCTGTTCTTGTGTTGAACTTCCTGAATCTTGACAATTATATACCTCCCTGTAACTTTTTTTTTTTTGTACCAGGGATCGAGCTCATAACCTTGTGCTTCCCAGGCAGGTGCTGTGCCACTGAGCTAAATCCCCAACCTTGTAGTTTTTTTCCTGTCATAGCTAATTGGAGTTCTAGATGCCTCATTCCTCTGCATCTCTAACACTTCCCATGTTTGGGAAGTTTTCTGCTTTACTTCCATAAACACATGGTTTTTATGTCCTTTATACTACCTGCTGATTTGGGATTGATTTTGCTTAATCATATTATATTCAGTTTTCATGCTCCCTTGCTATTAAGAAGTCTTTCGTTTGATGACCACCAAGTACAACACTGTCTTCTAAACCTGATAGTCTTTCTTCACATTGGTTGACTCTGCTTATATACTTTCAGTAGAATTTTTAATTTCCTGGAATTCAAATCTGTTTTATGGCAACTTTCAATCTGTTTGAATCTGTTTTATGGGATTCAGTTCTTTCCTATGCTTGGAATTCATGGTGTTCACGTATTTTCTAAGTTCCTCCATTTTTTAAGTCTGTATCTGCTCTAGATTCACTAACCATTTCTTCATTATGGCCATTATGTCTTTAATTATCTCTGTATTGGTTTTTTCTTTTTTTTTTTTTGTACTAGAAATCAAACTCAGGACCTCATGTTTTCCAGGCAGGTGCTGTGCTGCTGAGCTATATCCCTGGCTCTCTGCTTTGGTTTTGTTAAGAGACTTATTCATCTGTTTTGTTATTTCTGCTACTACCACTTCATAAAATTCAGCTAGGTGGCTTTTGATTTCTTCCACCGCAATGTCCACTTGATTTGCCGTGGATGAAGTGGGGATTATAAGGTGTACCTCGCTTCTGCATTTTTTTCATTTTCTTTCTTTCTCTCTCTTTCTTGCTTGTTGTTTGTTTGGGTTTTTTTGTTTGTTTGTTTTATTTTCTGTTTTGAAGTAAGGTGAGCAGTTAAGCAGAAGTGAAAAAAGAAAATCACAACAGGAAAATAATGCAATGACAGGAATAAGTCAATACCTCTCAGAAATAGTGCTCAATGCATGGTCTTAATTTCCCAATTAAAAAACACAAGTTTTCAAAATGGGTTAAGAAAAAATGATAAGTTGTATACTAGAAACATTTAATCCAAAAAGATATTCATACACTAAAAGTCAAAGGATCAAAAATAATATTCCACACAATGAGAACTCTAAAATAAACAGGAGTAGCTACCCTTCAGACAAAGTGGGTTACAAGCCAAAACTAGTCAGAAGAGGCAAAGCAGGTCACTAAGTACTAATTGAAGGAACAATTCAATAGGAACAATAAAAATTATAAATGTATATCCACCAAATACCAGTGCACTCAACTTTATAAAACAAATACCGTACATAAAAGATCAGATAAATATAAACCCAATTATAGTGGGGACTTCACTACTCTGCTATCACAAATAGACTTACTAGACAAAAAAAATCAACAAATTAATATAGAGTTGACTCAAACCTTTGAACAAACAGACTTTAATAGATATATACAAAGTGTTGTATCACTTTTTAAAACATAATATAGACCCCGCCCAGCTTTCTGAACAACCATAGGAGGCAAAGGAGATCCAGCAGGCCTGACTAGGCCATACCTAGCCACCTCCGTTGAGCCCAGGAAGCTGAGGGCATGCGAGGTGATTTCCAGTGCACTTGTGTTCACTCAGAGAGAGCTCTGGACCATCATGCCCAGTGGTTAGGACCCTGCCCAGATTTCTGAACAACCATAGGAGGCATGGGAAATCCTGGGAGCCTGAATAGGCCACTTCTAGCCACCTCCCTTGAGATCCTGGAGCTGAGGGCATGCTTATGCTTGGGGAGAGTTTGGACCATTGCTCCCTGTGGTTAGGACCCCACCCAGCTTCCTGAAACACCTGTTGGAGGCACAGGAGATCCCATGAGCCTGACTGAGCCACAACTAACCACCTTCATTGAGCCCAGGAGCTGAGGACTCATAAGGTAAGTTCCAGGGTGCTTGCACTCAGGAGAGATTTAGACCTTTACTCCCAGTGGTAAGGACACTGTCCAGCATCCTAGACCACTGGAGAACTTACAGGAAGTCCCTGAAGGTCTGATTGAGCCATGCCCAGTGACCTCTAATCAGTCCTGGGGAACTGTAGGCCCATGAGATCATTTCCAGTACACCCACAGGAAGCTTTGGAACATCTGTCAAGGCCCAGAAATATAGAAAAATGACAAAACAAAAGACCAAAATGCAATCTCAAACCTCCAGCCCATCCCAAGCAAACCTAGGAGCCATGTACATTGAAGAAAATACAAGCCATACACCTGAAACGCCTGAATTGATATCAACTGAAATAAAGAAACAACTCCAGGAAGCTATAAAAGAATTCAAATCAGAAATAATCCCCAAGGTAAAAGAAGAAATGATAAATGTAGTGAAAGAAAGGCTAAGCACATTTAAAGAAAACATAGTTAAAAAATTAGAGAAACAATGCAAAAGGATGGAAACCCTAAATGAACAATATAAGATACAAACACAATGCATGAAGCAGATTCAAAGAGATATACAGGAAATCAAAAATTCCATTGAAAGT